AGATGTGTATAAGAGACACCCCTTATATCATGCGCTATAATGGGTTGATATTGCCCCTTATATCATGCGCTATAATGGGTTGATATTGCACCTTATATCATATTTTTGTATATGAGAAACTTTTCTCCAATCGAGACGAGACAAGAAGCTTTGTCCCGGTTCGCAATAAAAACCGGAGAATTTTCAGCCCTCCGTGAGAATTCCGGGACGATACCGAGACGAGACGAGACGTGCCGGTTAAAATAGGAGGTTTAAATATATCGGAATTTATATCTTTTATGACGTGACATAACGAGACAAATCGCTTAATGATGGTATGTAGACTTTGTTCATAGTTTACAGACATGTAGAACAACTTGAGACGTATTAATTGACAATTCAGATCGTGGGTTTGGCTATTAAGATTGTTTTTGCTACATATCGTAATTTAACATGACACTTATTCATGACAAGGCTAATGAAAATAATAATGAAAATTCGCCCATTTCTTATTTTTTAATTTGCAATATCCTACTGTAGTGCACATTAAATATATATATATATATATTCATGATGACGTGTAAAGAAAAATCTTCAATGATAAAGTCTATAATTTAATTAAGTTTCCACTAGTTCAGGTCCATCAGTTGGAGCACTAGAATAGATGTTCCAGCAACAGGGTCTCGAGTAACAAGAAAAATCTTCAATGATAAAGTCTATAATTTAAATATGTTTCCGCTAGTTAAACACTAGATATCAGTTGGAGCACTAGATGTTCCAGCAACAGGGTCTCGAGTTATAGCCCTTGCACTGGTTTTACTTCCATTTGGACTCTAGTATCTTGTGATAAGTGATGTAACACTTGCACCTGCTATATGACATTTTGTAGTGGTAGAGGTTCAGGAGCAGGCAATACTTGTTGATGACATCGGTTGACTTGATAGACTAATATTGAGTTTAACTCATGGCATCTTACACGACTAGAGAAAAGAGAACCATTCCACTGTCTCCTAATTGTCCAAGTTAGTGACAACTCTTATGGAGTTATTGTTGTCTTATTATTATTATTATTATTATCTTCTATTGCCTGAGTTAGTGACATACTCTTATGGAACGCGTACTGAACTCGGTACAATTCTCGCGTAAGGCGCGGTTAAATATGCTAGACATTGACATAATTCACTCAATATTCAGCAATACATCGCCATATCTGGCCACTAATTTAACTGCCAAATTAGTTTAGCAGTTAAACGTGACCACATCTTCGAATGACCGGCAACTGCTTATTAACAATCAGGAGCCAATATATGTTATTCCTTAATCCGCTCGCTCAGAAGGTCTCGTTTTGTCTCGAAAATTCAAGCAATGTCTCGTCTCGTAACGTGAATTCTCGTTTTATTTCTTCCTGTCTCGTATCGTTTCATAATTGCCGGGACACAAGTTTTAAATCCGGGACAAATTTTACCCTCTGTCCCGTTATTTTTGTCCCGGCAATTTCTCGTCTCGTGCCATTTTTCCCGGTTCATTTCGAGAAAATTATTCCGAGACGCAGGAGTCTATTACAGAGCTTTACTGCAGCAGCTTTACAGTTCATAGTTGGAGACTTCAACGCCCAGTGAGCAGTTATCCCACGCTGCTGTGGGCACTGCAGCGCCCAGTGAGCAGTTATCCCGCGCTGCTGTGGGCACTGCAGCGCCCAGTGAGCAGTTATCCCGCGCTGCTGTGGGCACTGCAGCGCCCAGTGAGCAGTTATCCTGCGCTGCTGTGGGCACTGCAGCGCCCAGTGAGCAGTTATCCCGCGCTGCTGTGGGCACTGCAGCGCCCAGTGAGCAGTTATCCCGCGCTGCTGTGGGCACTGCAGCACCCAGTGAGCAGTTATCCCACGCTGCTGTGGGCACCGCCCCCCGCGGTGCCCCAGCACTTCATTTAAACGCTATTTACAACAATTCATTTATTCAGCAATTGTTGAGGATGAATTCATTCACACCCGCGGCTCCACAAATGTTCGTTCGAGCGAAACTTTAGCGACGGCGGCTGATGCGACGAAACTTTTTGGGCGGCGACCGAAGCATTTGGGGGCGCGGGCCCCCCGCTGGGCGCTAAGTGGGGCCCGCCATACGCCCCCGCGGGGGGCCTGCTGAGCGGCTCTATTAGGGCCAATCTGTCCACGCCAATTATCATTGGCTCGTTTTGCAGGCCGTGAACGCGGCGTGCTGGTGATTGGCTCGTTGTTGGCAGGCCGTGAACGCGGCGTGCTGGTGATTGGCTCGTTGTTGGCAGGCCGTGAACGCGGCGTGCTGGTGATTGGCTCGTTGTCGGCAGGCCGTGAACGCGGCGTGCTGGTGATTGGCTCGTTGTCGGCAGGCCGTGAACGCGGCGTGCTGGTGATTGGCTCGTTGTTGGCAGGCCGTGAACGCGGCGTGCTGGTGATTGGCTCGTTGTCGGCAGGCCGTGAACGCGGCGTGCTGGTGATTGGCTCGTTGTCGGCAGGCCGTGAACGCGGCGTGCTGGTGATTGGCTCGTTGTTGGCAGGCCGTGAACGCGGCGTGCTGGTGATTGGCTCGTTTAGCAGGCCGTGAACGCGGGGTGCTGGTGATTGGCTCGTTTAGCAGGCCGTGAACGCGGCGTGCTGGTGAATGACACTAGTCTCACACACAAACTAGTCACTAGTCTCACACACACACTAGTCACTAGTTTCACACACTAGTCACTAGTTTCACACACGTCACTAGTCCCACACACACTAGTCACTAGTCTAACACACTAGTCACAAGTCTCACACACTAGTCACTAGTCTCAAAATAAACTAGTCACCAGTCTCACATACACTAGTCACTAGTCTCAACACACACTAGTCACTAGTCTCACACACACTAGTCACTAGTCTCACACACATTAGTCACTAGGCTCACATAAACTGTCACTAGTCTCACACACACACTAGTCACTAGTCTCAACCACACTAGTCACTAGTCTCACACGCACTAGTCACTAGTCTCACACTCACTAGTCACTAGTCTCACACTCACTAGTCACTAGTCTCACACTCACTAGTCACTAGTCTCACACACACTAGTCACTAGTCTCACACACACTAGTCACTAGTCTCACACAATACACCAGCCTGCTGTACCATATACCAGCCTGCTGCACCATACACCAGCCTGCTGCACCATACACCAGCCTGCTGCACCATACACCAGCCTGCTGCACCATACACCAGCCTGCTAGTGTGACGTACATGTGACGTACATGTGACGCACATGTGACGTACGTTTGACGTACATGTGACGTACATGTGGCGTTATTAATGAGTATTGTAAAGGAATCAAATTCCTTTACCGTAAATAATATCACTGGTATAAAAATCTAACATAGAGTACAGGCTGAACTTCCAGGATAGTGCACAAAGCTGGTCATTTTTGGGCGGATGCACGTCGATCTCCAGACAGTGGTTGGTTGTGTTGCCATTCACTCCAGACTGTGATTGGTTGGTAAGATTGTGACGTCATCCTCTCCAGACTGTGATTGGTTGGTAAGATTGTGACGTCATCCTCTCCAGACTGTGATTGGTTGGTAGGATTGTGATGTCATCCTCTCCAGACTGTGATTGGTTGGCAGGATTGTGATGTCATCCTCTCCAGACTGTGATTGGTAGGCAGGATTGTGACGTCATTCTTTCTAGGCTGTGATTGGTTGGTA